TGCAATAATCACCTAAGTAAAAGAACCACAAGGGGGAGGAGAAACTCAGGAGTCAGAATCCTCCCTACAGGATTTGTCCTTCTAGCACTGTATCTTAAAAGCTTCCTAGGTTAGTCTTCATTAAAGGGAAACAATAATCCCTTATTTATGCTCTCATTACTCATAAACTACACTTTAAATTGCTTACATTACTGTTTACCTGGGAAGCCAATAAAATGGTCTTTCTTGCTCTTCTGATACGCAAGCATTCTTCTTAATGTTAATTATGTTAAGTCTTTAAAATCTAGCTTTTGTCTTTGATAAATGATAGAAATTACACTGGATCCACTGAGAAACTTTATTAAGTACACTGAAACAAAAAAAAAAATCAAGATATCATCACCATATAGTATTGAAATGGGCATATGGCCCACCCTTCATGTGCACTAATAAAACATTCCACGAGTTGGCAAGTGATGCTGCCGTTCCACCACCTCTTTCAAAGACCATCTGAAGGGCGGGACATTCTGAACCTAGTTTTGCCAGTTTTTCGTCAGTTTCTCTCCCAGGAAATAGGGGGTTAAACATTTCCAGCTGCATGTAAAAAGCCATCCGATGACTTAAAACAAATATCCTCCATTGCAATTTTCAGTTATCCTGTCAATAAGTCATATCGAGAGGAAAATCATAAAAAGGTCGGCATCACTCCATGAGCTAAGAAGCTTAAAACCGCAAACGTACTGAAAAGGAAAACTGATACTTTTCATTATCATCCATTCAGATTACTTAGATGGGAATCCATCCCAGATATTACAAAGGGATTCCACTGCTGTAGACTTCAAATACTGAAACTTACCGATTACATCTAATCTCATGATACAGGCAAAGAGCTGATAATGGGATCTCCTCCTAGGATTCTTACTCTTGAAAGGACGCCACAAGCCTTTCTGCCCAACTTCCTGACGCTAACTTCCCAGAAGGAAAGTTGATAAACATGACATAGAAGCAATGCTTATCACATTTGCAAAAAGCACTTGACAACAGAGAGTGACTGGATTCCTCCTGCAGCTTCGCCATCTCGGCGGTCGTGAGCCCCTCACGCCCTCTCCTACCCCCCAAGCCTAGGGACGAGGAAGCAGCGGGCACCACGGTGCATCCAGGGGAAAGCAGGTCATGGTGCGGGCGAGGCCGCTGCGCGCCGCCAGCTGCCGGGTCAGTGAAGCCGCAGTGGCCGCGGCCACTTCCCCGCGCGGCGCGGCTCCGGGTAACTAATGTTCCGCGGCGCCTGACTAAACCCTCCAAATCCAGGGAATGTCAGCGCTCACACTCGCGCCCTGGGCGGCAGACAAATGCGTCCCTGAGGAGCCGCCGCCAGCTCCGCGCCGCCGCTCCCCTCGGCGTCGGCCTGAGGTAGCCCGCAGCAGCCGGCGCGGGGCGGCCGGGCGCCGACACAAGTTAGTTTTCCGGCCGGAGCAGCCCTGCCGCAGCCCGGGAAGAGGAACTGCTCCTCTCCCCCCGACAGCGCCCCAGCGCCGCCAGAGCAGGGGCTTCCCCAGACGCGGAGTCGGGGACGGGGAACTGGGGGCGGCCGCCGGGGCGGGGACGCCCCTCCGCCATCTCCCGCCAACCGCCCCTCCCTCGCCCAGGGACGCGAGGGGGACGCGCGGTCCGGGCGAGGCCTCGGTGGCTCCTCGCGCCCCGGCTCCCCGCCGCCGGAGTTGAGGGGGAGGCGCGCTCTCCGTAAGAGCCGGAGGCGGGGCGCCATCGCCCTCCCACTCCCGGGCGGGCGGGCCGGGGGAGCCCGGTGCTGCGAACACCCCCAGACGGGAGGCGGCGGGAGGGAAGGCTGGAATGAGGGGCCTGGTACACAGGACCGGCGGTGGCGGCAGCGGCATCTCGCCTTCTTCAGGCCTGTACGCGCCACAGGCCGCAGCCTGGACCAACCTCGCGTCCCCCGGCTGCGAGCGTGGCGGTCCCGGCCCCCAAGAGTGGGACGCCGGGCAGCCGCGGCCCCCAGGACCCGGCTCTTCGCCCGCTCCGCCCGCAGTCCCGGCACGGAGAGCGATCACCCGAGACGCTGCCGCTGCAGCGCGAGTGTCGGCGGCGGAGCCCGGGGCGGGGAAGAGCCGAGGAAGGGGCGGCGAGGGGGCGGGCCGGCGGCGGCGGCCAGGGGGACGGGGTGCGCCGCGCTCGGTGCCCCCTCGGCCCGCGCTTCGCCAGCACCACCTGCGGAGCCGTGGTGCCCACGCTGTGCCGCAACCCCGCCGCCCCCCGCTCCCGCCACACGCGGGCAAACAAAACAAGTTGCAGGTCGCTGCCGCCGGAGGGGGCCGGGCGGTTCACTCACCCTCATCCTGCTCAGCGGGCTCGGCTCGTCCGGCCGCGGGGTCAGGGAAGACCAGAGGACTACTAGCCCCAGGAAGCTTCCCACCACTAGCAAACTGCGTAAGATGAACCCAATCTTCAGCCTCATCTTCCTCCGGCGGCGAGAGACTCACAGCCCGGCGCAGCCGCCGCCACCGCTCTCCCCTCCCTCCTTCCCCCTCCTCCGGCTCTCCTCCTCCTCCTCTTCCCCCCACCCCTACCGCTACGGCTGCCGCCCTCTCCGCTGCCTGCCCTTTCCAGCTCCAGATCCGGAACTCCCCTCGTCTCTACCTTCCCCCGGGTTCTTCCCTCCGCCCCTCCCGCGGCCCCCTCTCCTCCGGCGGCCACCGCAGAGCTCCGACCGACCCGGGCGCCTAGCTCTTCCAGGCAGCCTTCCTTTCTACCTGCCCCCTTCCAGATCCGCAGTCTCTGCTCTCCGCGCGAGCCCCCTTCACAGCCCCCCTGCTACCTTGCAACTAACTTGCACTTTCCCCAGGTCTGGTCCTTAGCCTTTGCCCTGCAGCTCAGCTCCTTAAAGCCTTCAGATTCCCAAACTTTTATTGCAATTATGGACCATAACTCGGTCGCTAACGTCCGTGCCCTCCGGGAACCCCTGACCCGCCACCCCCTCCGGCGGACTTAGAGAGGCTCTTGGCTGCACCTCTTCCCCTAGATCCACTGCCCTGAGCCCCCTACCGAGAGGCTTGCAGGAAGCCAACCAGGAAGTGGGACTATCGCCGCTGCTGCTGCAGCAGCTCCACGTGGCTGATTTATAGCTGAAGGGTTTTTTTTTATTGATTGTTCTTGCTTTTTCACACGGCTCCTTAAGGTGGTGGATTTGTAACCGAAAGGCCCAGGTGAGATGTGCAAATATCACTGGATTGGAGGAGCTCACTTGGAAAGGCAGTATTTCTTTCTCTTGAGCTAATGAAAAGAAAGGCATTCGTCTTACGCCAATAAGCAATACCAACCTTGTTCACAGGCTGGTAAGTTTCAAATCCGAGGACCACGGATTTCAGGTTTTTAAAGCAACTCCACCCTCATTGCCTCCCTCAGACCTGATTTTTGCCACTTGATTTCCGCTTTTCAAACGCCTTTTCTACCTATGTTACCTAAATTACAAAGGAAAGGATATTGGTAAATGTTTAGCCAAATTCCCCGCCTTGAGGAAATAATTTTTCTGCCCATATCTCCCAATAAAGATGCCTATGACTTTATACCAGAGTGTATGTGATTACATTATCAGTGTACTATATCCTAAACTGCTAATTTAAATCGAACAAAACGTTTTAAGATTTTATCCAGAGTTTTGTTTTTGTTTGTTTTTGAGGCAAAGTCTGGCTCTGTCGCCGAGGCTGGAGTGGAGTGGAGTGGTGCAACTTCGGCCCCCTCCGCCTCCCTGCAACGTCTGCCTCCAGGGTTCAAGCAATTCTCCTGGCCCAGACTTCAGAGTAGCTTGGACTACAGGTGCATGCTGCCATGCCCAGCTAATTTTTTTTTTTTTTTTTTTAATTTTAATAGAGCCAGGGTTTCACGGTGTTGCCCAGGCTGGTCTCGACTCTTGAGTTCAGGCAATCCACCTGCCTCGGCCTCCAAAAGTGCTAGGATTACAGGCGTGAGCCACTGCGCCTGGCCTATCCTAAGTTTTAAGATGGTGAAAGCTGATTCTTTTTTCTCACACTGTGTTATATGTGCAAGTTTTTGCTTTAAAACAAAACCCAGTTATGTAAAGTTTTAGAATGAAACCTTTTAAATCATCAAATAAAGAATTGTACCAGACTACCTTCATGTGTGTTTTAGCTTGGCTTACAATAGCTAGGGTATCAGGGAGTTCTGCAGATACTATAATTTCAGAATTTCCACAAAATATCTAAAGTGATGGGTTCTGGAAATGTAGGATGGATTGTAGTTAGGTGTATTATTAGTTGGCTGAATGATTGTACATCTGTAGAAGTCCACTATATAGAGCACCTGGAAAGAGGGACTGTCAAGGGTTAAACACAAATCACTGCTTGATTCAGCATTTGTATCAGCCCTTTAGGTTAAAACCAGTTGTTTTAACTGGAAGCTGAGAGAGATTTCTCCTAAGACCATTTTTTGGTAAAAAAAAAAAAAAAAAAAAAAAAAAGATCTGGAATGTGTAATTCATGAAGTAGGAATCCGCCTTGTAATGTGATATGAAAAGCGAATGCACCGTTTCTTGGTGGTGATTCAGATCAGTGTTGGGACCCAGGAGTCTCCTGTTAATCAGTACCCTAGTGATTTTGATTCCAGCAATCTGCACCACCTTTGGAGAAATACTGAAAGGAAGCAGGGTAGGGGGTTGGGAAAAGTCTTCTGTAGACAATTTTGAAAGGCAAGAATAGGCTCATTTATGGACTCAACTTGAACTGTTCAGAAGTGAAGTGGACTCCTTTTCTTTGTTTATTTTTTGAGTCAAGGTCTTGCTCTATCTCAGGCTGGAGTGCAGTGGCACATTCATAGCTCACTGCAGCCTGGAACTCCTGGGCTCAAGTGATCTTCCTGTCTCAACCTCCTGAATAGCCAGGACTACAGGTGTGAGTCATAATGCGCTGCTATTTATTTTTTATATTTTTGTAGAGACAGGGTCCTGTTGCCCAGGCTGGTCTGAAACTCCTGGCCTCCAGCCATCCTCCCTTTTTTGTCTCTTAAAATGCTGGGATTACAGGCATGAGCCACCATGGCCCACCTGGACTCCTTTTTATAGGAGATGGAGACTGGGCTGGAAATAGGTAACTTACAAGGCATCTTACTGTGACCATAAGAGAATAAGAATAATTTCATTTGAAATCAGCAGCTGAAGTCCACCTGAATAATTAAATCTTGCATTTCTGCTATTTTCACAGGGGAGACAGTTTTTTATTATTAAGAAAGTAGGAAGCTTGGTCCAGCACAGTGGCTCACGCATAATCCCAGCACTTTGGGAGGCCAAGGTAGGTGGATCATGAGGTCAAGAGATTGAGACCATCCTGGCCAACTTGGTGAAACCCCGTCTCTACTAAAAAATACAAAACTTAGCTGGGTGTGGTGGTGTATGTCTGTAGTCCCAACTACTCGGCAGGCTGAGGCAGGAGAATTGCTTGAACCTGGGAGGCGAAGGTTGCCGTGAGACGAGATGGCACCACTGCACTGCAGCCTGGCGCCTGGCAACAGAGGAAGACTCTGTCTCAAAAAAAAAGTAGGAAACTTTATTTTTACTATTATGAGCATAGCTGCATAAATATGCAAATGAAAGTGATACCTATCATCAAAGTACTGGGAATGGTTCTTTGAAGGTCCTAGTATTCTGAGAACATCCTGCGACCACCACCACTACCCTCCCCCTTTAGCTTTACATGTAGAGAACTTAAAATATGTGTGAAAGAGTATATAGTTATATAGTTGTATATTGATTAATAGGTATATAGTTGTAAAAGCTTGTTTCTCTGAGACCTAATAACATTTAAAAGAAACTGCAAGTAAACTAACACAGGAACAGAAAACAAAATACCGTATGTTCTCACTTATAAGTGGGAACTAAATGATTAGAACATGTGGACACATAGATGGGAACAACACAAACTGGGGCCTATCAGAAGGTGGAGGGCAGGAGGAGGGAGAAGATCAGGAAAAATAACTTATGGGTACTAGGCTTAATACCTGGGTGATGAAGTAATCTGTACAAACCCCCATGACACAAGTTTACCTATGTACCAAACCTGCACATATACCCCTGAACTTAAAAGTTAAAAAAAAAAAAAGTACAAGTATACCTTAAAACATATGCCCATTGCAATATTTGCTGGGAAGCAGACTTTGTAGAGTTAACAGAACTCTGTTTAGAAAGTGAGGAGCTACATTCAAAGCTTAGGTCAAGATAAATCGCGTATGTCTCTGAACCTAGGGCTTTTATCTGCTAAACAGTGATTACAATATTCAACCTCACAATGTTCTCAAAAGTAGTAATAACTGAGGTCAAGTACATATATAAAGTACACTTAGTATAATGGGACAAGTCTCAGGTGTGTGTGGCTATACTTCTTGTTTTATGAATGCTGCAGTTCCTGGGATAATAGTCACTAAGGAAGAGGATAGAGACTAGAACTGAATGAGATGGACACAGAGATCGCCAAGAGAAGCATCGTCCTCTGACAAGTCATGGGGTCATGTGTGGTGGATGGTGACATGGCATCTTCAGCTCAGAGTCCAGCTGGGAGCTCAGAAGCAAGGTAACTGAAGGGAAAAGAAATTTCTGAGTACCTAGTGTGTGTAAGATGCTTCACATTTATTATTTCACCTAACCTCTACACAACCTGATGTGACTATTACTGCTGTCAAGGTGGGATTCAAAGCAGGTTTTTTTCTAACCTCATAATTCTTGCCAGACTGGACTAGCCCTCTGGTTCTGGAACATAAATGTTTTCAGGCACTGTAGTGTGCAAGAGGTCAGAGCCTAAAGCTTTATTATTTTTTAATTTCTCCACCATGTCAACTCTGTTAAAGGGAAGCCCACCAGAGGGAATTGTACCCATTTGGGGGCTACACTCCCTTGGGGCCCTCACCATGCTTCCCTGTCTTCTCTATGCTGCAGCCAAGCTGAACTTCTGGGTTTTTAAATGTAACTCACTTACCTTCAGGCCCTTGTACAGGGAGTTCTTTTTGCCTGAAATACCTTCTAACATCTTAACATCACACTTAGATGTCAGTTACAAAAAGCTTTTTCGAGTCTCTCTCACATGTCCCACTCCACACTCCTATGTCCCTTCCCACCAAAGTACTTGGGTAGGCATCCTGGTAGGTACTTCCACTGCACCTTCTGCTTCCCCTTTCCTCATGATTACCACTATATTGTAATTGCTTAATTTCTTTTTCCTATACCCAGATAAAGGTATACATGAAGGTGGAGACTTGTCTAACTAGTTCGTTATTGTTACCTGTGTCTGATATGTGGAAAGAACTGAGTATTTCTTGATGAAATGCTGACTGAATAATGGGATTGAAAATATAAAAGGCAGATGAAACTTAGAAGAGGGGTCAGGTTTACTTCAATTGCTATTCCTCCTCATTGGGAGGTTTTTTCTTCCAAGGATAAAACTTTGGGGGTTTTATTAAATTAGCAAAGTGATTATTTTACACATGTTCATCATCATCAATTGATAGGCTGTTGTTTCCCCCTTACTCAGCATCCTACTAAGGCTACTCAGAACTAAGAAGAAAGGGTAGTTTTAATTAGGGTTCATATTTTTGTATGTACTGAGATTTAAACACACACACACACACACACACACACACACACACACCCCTGCATTGAAATGGGAACATGCAGCCATGGTGAATTATTTGCAAACAAATTTCAATATTAACTATGTCTGGTTGCCAAGAACTCAGATTAGAGTCAGTGACCTCTAAATTACTAAATATCCTATCACCTATTCTATAAGCCATTTAATCACCTCTTTTTAAAGAAGAACACCATTGGTGGTATCTTTAAAGGAAGATACATTTTATAGTTTAGAGAATAATTACTATTGGCCGGGCATGGTGGCACAGGCCTGTAATCCCAGCACTTTTTGGGAGATCTAGGTGGACAGATCATGAGGTCAAGAAATTGAGACCATACTGGCCAATATGATGAATCCCTGTCTCTACTAAAAATACAAAAATTAGCTTGGCGTGGTGGCACATGCCTGTAGTTCCAGCTACTCAGGAGGCTGAGGCAGGATAATTGCTTGAACCTGGGAGGCAGAGGTTACAGTGAGCTGAGATCGTACCACTGTGCTCCAGCCTGGCGACAGGGCAAGACTCCGTCTCAAAAAATAATAATAATTACTATTTAGATATCAAGGAAAGCATAGTTTAAGTTTGTTAAGAATTTATTAATTTTGTGTACTGTTGATTAGCTATCGTTACTGCTTAACAGATTACTCCAAAATTTAGCACTTTGAAACAACAAACATTTATTATTTCACACAGTTTCTGAAGTCAGGAATCTAAGAGTGGCTTAGCAAGGTGGTCTGGCTCAGGATCTCTCATGAAGTTCTTACCAGACCGTCAGCTGGAGCTACCATCATAACCAACTGGGCCTGGAGAATTTGCTGCCAAGTTAACCCACATGGCCAGCGGACAGGCCTCAGTTCCTCACTGGCGGGGGGTGGGAGGCTTCAGTTCCTTGTCACATGGGCTTCCCCACAGGGCTACTCATGACGTGGCAAGCTGACTTTCCCCCTCCATGAAAGATCTGAGGGAGAGAGAGCCCAAGGCAGAATCCACAGTCCTGTATAAGAAATGCTCTGTACACTGCCTTTATCTGTAAAATGAAGGTGTTAGACGAAGTGATCTTTAACATCCTTTCCCAACTGAAATTCTGAGATTTTCCTATGATGTGGATGTGTGATTGAGACTTAAATTTGTGCTTTCATATGGAATACTATAAGGTAAAATTCTGCCTTTGTACATTTTTTCTGACATGGGGTAATATTTCTATCATAAGTTTAAGAGATGGATAATTCCTGAGTTGTGCTCATCTGGAATAAAGGACTGTTGTCAAGGGCTTCCATTTGATGAGGTTAAGGGTCTCTTACTGTGTTTTGAAAGCAAAAATACTTATTTAAAAGCCCTCGGATTTCACATTGTAGAACACTTCCTCTTCATAATTTGGTACTGTTTTTGGACTCCCATAATTTAGAAGTGCTCTTCTGATTTAACCATTTATTTCAGAGGTGATTGAAACAGATAGGTCTCTTACCACTCTTGTTTAAAACCTCTCCAACAGCTTCCCATTGCTCTTAGAAGTAAGCCCAAACTCCCCCATTTATTACAAAGCCTTTGTGAGCTTGCCTCTGCTTACCTCTGCAGCCCCATGACTGGTCAGTTATCACCCCTTTTCCAACTTAAACTATAGCCATGTTGACTTTGTCTCCATTTCTGAAATAGGCCAACTTTCCTCTCACGTCTAGACCTTTGTGTATGTTATTCTCTTGCTTAGAACACTCTCTCTGTAGTTCTTACACTAACCCCTCTCCCACAAACTCTCTGATAACCCTTCAGATTTCAATTTGTATGTCAATTCTTTCAGAAACTTCTAATTGTCTTCATCCCCCCACCCCACTGCTAGGTTAGAAGACCCTGCTTCATGCATTCAGAGCACCCTGTAAAGTTCTCCCTCAAAGCATATATAGAGCTAAACTTTATAATTGTTTATTCAGTTGTCACCTTCATTAGACCAAGTTTCTTAAGGGCAAGGACCATGTTAGAACTTGGCATTGTGTCTCTGGGTGTGTTGACAGTGCTTGCAACAGAAGAAATGCTCAGTGTTAAGAGTCTGAACGAGTGAAAATAGATTTCCTGTGTGCACTGTTTTAGGCGTAGGTGAAAGGGAGTTGCATAGCAAAAATACTAATTTAAAAGCCCTCAGATTTCACAACGTGGAACACCACCTCTTCATAATTTGGTACAGTTTTTGGACTTCTGTAATTTAGAAATCCTCTTCTGATATAAGAAGCATCCTTTAATAGCTCTTAAAAGGTGATAATATCTAAATGTTTTGCAGAAGCATTTTATAGGTAGATGGTTTTGCCTTTATTTGGGTGTTGGGAAAGAAGGGTACAGTATTGTACATTTTACCTGACCAAAATGAGCACTATAATTCCTAGATAATAAGCTGACAGCTATTTGAAACTGCCTGTCAGCTCACTGAAAGCAAAATGCATTGCCCAGAACCTCACATCTTTTATGTGGGAACTCAGTACCTACATGACAAACTAGCCTCTCTGTGTTACTGTTGATAATCTCTTAGAGCATGACCTTGAAATAATGGGTGAATGGAAAGAAACTCTGTCAGTGAAAGGGCCAGAATACCTACCCAGCTATATGCAGAATGAGAGATTTGGCTAGACTCAAATTTCTAATTTCCTTTCAAATGCTCAAATTTCTTAAAGTTAAGGTATGAAGCACACTGCAGAAAGACTCAAGTTCTCAGCAGGGTGGTTAGTTAAATGACCTGAAAGTTTTCAAAACGGGTATTTGTCATGGTATTACCGTAAGTCCTCTTAGAGTTTGTGTGCATAAACCTCTGCATCAGTGACCAGGCTAGTTCCAGACAGTTATCGATTTGTTATCACATCCTTCCAGAGATCCTGCTTATCTAGCTATGCCTAGAACCTGACATTCTTTATTGTGGGAACCTGTAAGACAAAGCCTCTCCCTTGTTAAAACAGATTATCTCTTAGATCATAACTTTGACACAACGGGTGGAATAGAAAGAAACTATGTCAGTGAAAAGGCCAGAGAATCCATGCTGCCATATGTAAGATGAGAGGCTTGGCTAAACCACATTGGGCATAGCTGGATAAGCAGGATCCCTGGAAGTGTGTGAAGATGTGTGGGCAGGAGAAAAAAGGAGGAGGGGACATTCCTGTGCTTGACCATCTTCTGAAAGTTTTTTGATTAATTTAAATAAAATTGGGTTATTTTAGTAATGGACTATGCCTACAAGCCTTTTTAGGCATTTGAGACAAGATAAAACAGTTACACACAAATAAACTGAGATTCAGACTACAGAGTGATTATGATGCAGGGAGATTTTCCCAAATGATCCAGGAAGTAAGAGGCTGGACAGGGACTAGAAATCTGCTAATGTCCAGAAATTTCATCCTTTTTTTTTTGGAGACAGTTCTGTCACCGAGGCTGGAGTGCAGTGGCGCGATCTTGGCTCACTGCAGCCTCTGCCTTCCAGGTTCAAGCAATTCTCTGCCTCAGCCCCCAGAGGAGCTGGGATTACAGGCGCCTGCTACAACATCTGGCTAAATTTTTGGTATTTTTAATACAGACAGGGTTTCACCATCTTAGCCAGGCTGGACTTGAACTCCTGACCTCGTGATCCACCTGCCTCTGCCTCCCAAAGTGCTGGGATTACAGGCATGAGCCGCCACGCCCAGCCTTATCCTTTGTTTAGTTTCTAACAACTGAACAATGAGAAGTACATTTTCCCTTTAATTTGAACATATGGCTCTGCATTACATGACCATTTGGAGAGGCACAACAGAGAGTTGCGAGCCAAGAGTGCTGATCTTCAGGGGAACTCAAAATACTACCATTTAGGTAAACGTACCTTTTGCAATGCTGCAAAGAGTTATGAAATTTGAATTATTTTAATTACATTTCTTTTTGGAGAGTGATGTTTGAGGACTTGGTTTTATGAGATGACTTCTCTTTTCAAACCACATAAAATGATTTTTAACAAATGGAGTCCTTTTCTATGATCCTTTCCTGTATATTTTTAGATATTTCTATTCAACATTTTTTTTAGCATGTGTAATGTGCTAGTCATTGTTCTAGATGCTGGAGATAGAGCAGTAAACTAAAAGCAGAAACCTTTGTCCTCATAGAGTCAAGACAATAAGCCAAATATGTATATTATTATGTCTTGTTATCGAATAAACTGCTATATCACTACATTGCAAGCCTTTTTCTAAGAGTATACAAAGATCAACTATTTCATTTAGATGATCACATTAGAAGATAAATGCAATGGAGAGAAATAAGCCAGGGAAATGCAACGTGGAATGCTGGGAGGGGTTAAGGGGAGGTTTCCATTTTATAGTCTGAGAAGATAATATTTGAACAAGTCCTGGAGTTGAGGGCACCACCAAGTGGGTATCTGAGGAGAGATGGCTCCAAGCACAAGGAGCAGCAGATGTGAGGCCCTGATGCAAGAATCTTCCTGCTTGTTTGAGGAAAAGCAAGGACATGAGGACAGCTGTAGCTGAGAAAGTGTAGGGAGAGCATTAGATCATAGTAAAGACTGTGACATTTATTTAGAGTGACAGGGGAAGTCATCGGACAGTTTGATGCAGAGGTGGCATCATCTAACTTATATCTAAATAGGATCACAGCCTCTGGCTTCT